CTCTCTCCCCCCTCCCTCCCCCACCTCTCTCTCTCTTTCTTCTTCCCCCACCCCATTCTGTCTCTTGCCCCCACTGCCTGTATCTCTCTCTTGCCCCCCGACCCCATCTCTTCCTCTCCCTCTCCCTGTCTCTCCTGTGCGCTCTCTGTTTCCGGCCCTGCAACTAATGTACCTATTTATAACAAATCAATACAATGGATAGTCTTGCTTTCATCGTATTACTGCGTTTAAAGAGCACACTACCTGGTGAAATTAACTATTAAGTTACAAAGACCAAGACCTTCCAGTCACCAAACATTTAGGTGAATTACACAAATAAACTGAACAGTTGTAAACCTATAGGTCCCGATTGCACAATGTGATCTGTATTTTGTACAAAAGTTGAATGATACAGCAAAGAGGTTTACAAAGTTCCTTGTGTTTCCTTCCAAGACTCAGGTGGCACACCTTTCCACCAAATAATTGATAGCACCAATGAAAAGATCCTGAAGATCAGTTCTTTTAACATAACATGGCTGTTGCTCTGCGTGGGCCTGGTCCAAATGGAAGTATTTTCCATGACTTTACAAGATTAGTGCATTCATTCCTGCATTGTTCCAAGGGAATTAAGGAAGATTGCTATAGGGAACTGGTTGTAATTTGTGTTACACAATTGTCCTCTTTACACTTCATCTCTTTTCCATATTGTGCAGCGGGAGCCTCTCAGGTGAAATGGAACAAAAAGAACCCGTGCTGCTTAGCAACAAGCCATGACGGAGATGTGAGAATCTGGGACAAACGGGTGAGTTTTTAAAATTTATTGCTTTTCATGGGATTTGGGCATGGCTGACAAGGTTCACATTAGTGAACCAAGCAGCTTTTTACAATAATCAATGATGGTTTCATGTTCCTGTAGCTTTCAAGCACTTAAAGATTTATTAAAAGAAAACATTTGGATTCTGGAAGTTATTTTTTACTTAACTGTTTCAAAGCCAATGGAGCTTGGTCCCTTTTCTAATGAGCTGGAAGAGAACCAAAGAAGTAATGCAGTCATGGAAAACAAGGGTCTTGGCTTATTAAGGACAGTGGGTTTTTGGATGTAATTTCAACTATGAAATTTGTAGCTGTTTTACCTTGAAATATCTGGGAACTCAAGTAAAAATTGTTATGCTTTTCTTTGAATGTCTCATTTTTAGTTGGTAAATTGTTGGCTTCGGTATTTTGTGTAAGAAAAGAAAACATAGCAGGGCATAGATCATTCCCCCACCTCCCCCCATTACACATTGTAGAGTTCAGATCAAGATGGTTTCTCCAACCTTTTGGGGAATAAATAATTGCAAACAAAGAGGACCAAGGAAGTACACCTTTTAAGAGCAACAAGTGTGAATACCGAGCTAATAGATATAATACTTTATCTGAACAGTTCAGTGGCCTAAGATGGCTGAATTAATCAAAAATGTAATGTATTTTAATGATTTGAATACTGTACAAATATTGACCAGATGTTGTGTGCTGACTTTCTTGTTCCTCAGCTTGTGCCAAGCGATATTTTAAATGTACTTGAGGGCAAACAAAGTTAGAGTTTAATGCCTCATCTAATAGATAGTTCCTCCAGTTGTGCTTAGTCTCTCAATATAGGATCAGACTGTCAGCCTGGATTTTGTGTTCAGGTTTCTGGAGTGGAACTTGAACGTTTAACCTCAAACTTGCAGGTGAAACAATACCAGTTAAGCAGTGGCTGACTGAAATAAGGAAGATGTTATACTGTTAGAATAGAAGTTGTTGAGGTTGAATTGATAATAGATTGAAGTCCAAAAATAACATCAGGACTGAATGTGCTTATGTAATAGACAGGTGTAACCTCAATGGGTGGGTCTCATCTACCTTCCTATAAATGGAAAGTAAGGCGTGCACATCAGCTTCTTCAAAGCACAAAAGTTACAGGGAGATGCTGATGCTGGAAAGAGAGATGGTAAGACTTAGCGAAGATTTTTGCCTTAAGGTAGAAGTGATTGTCAAAGATAATTTAAGTATTTTAACATAAGATCTCCACAAAATCTTTCCTTTTTTCCCAGAAACCTAATACAGCAGTGGAATATATTGCTGCTCACTTGTCAAAAATCCATGGACTGGACTGGCACCCGGAGAATGAACACATCTTTGCTACATCAAGCCAGGACAACTCTGTCAGAGTAAGTAATAGACCCTAAACACCATTGGTTTTTATCTGGTATGTGTTCAGAGGAATCTATTCAAGGGGAATTCATATTTCTTCTTCTGGTTTCTAGTTCTGGGATTACAGACAACCAAGGAAATATCTAAATATTCTGTCATGTCAAGTCCCAGTGTGGAAGGCCCGGTACACAGTAAGCAGCTTTTCTGTTTGATGTTGATGGGATGCTGTTCATGGAAAACTGGTTTTCTTCTCTGATCTCCCATTTCAAATTCATATTAACTGTATCTATTTTTCAATATTAAACACATTGATGAACTTAATCAAAATTTTGAACAATAAGGAGCTAGAGAGGACTGCGTGTTCATATGGATCCTAACACAGGAGAAATTAACTGGAATGTTTAATAGGATTTTATGATCTGCATCTCTTTTCCTTCCTGCATTTCTTCCTGATTGCACAAGAATTGAATACTTGTCTGTTGTGATGTATTGCATCCCATTTGGGAAGATGCTCTGATTCTCAATCCTACAGCTCAGATACTACAAAAGTTAGTATTTTCATAAAAGCAGACACAGTCCCCAGTCTAGACCACTCAGACAGTTTCGTAGAGCATCTGTGCTCTGTACGTGTCAAACAACAACACCTTCCGGTCGCCAACCATTTTAATACCCCCTCCCACTCCCTGGGTGATATGTCCACCCTGGGCCTGCTCCAGTGTCACAATGACACGACCCGCAAACTGGAGGAGCAACACTTCATATTCCGCCTTGGGAGCCTACAGCCCGATGGCCTAAACATGGAATTCACCAGTTATAAAATATCCCCACCCCCAGCCTCATCCCACGCCCAAGCCTCTCTCTCGTTGCCACCTCGACCTGACACAACCTGTCCATCTTCTCTCCCACCTGTCTGCCCCACCACTCCCTACCTGCACTCACCTATCACCATCCCACCTGCCTTCCCCAGCCCCACCCCTCCTCTCTCGATTTCCCAGCTCCCCCCTCCCCGTTTCTGAAGAAGAGTCCCGACCTGAAATGTCAACTTTCCTGCTCTTCTGATGCTGCCTGGCCTCCTGTGTTCCTCCACCTCCATTCGGTGTTGCTCCAGTCCACCTGTTTTTGTTTGGAATCAAGTTAACAGAAGGCAATGACCAGATTCCTGTACTTAAAGAAGAATGACTGTTTGTTTGTTTGTTTGTTTGTTTGTTTGTTTCTTACAAAGAAGTAATCTACATTCTCAAATAAACAGCTATGGCTTCATTTGTTAAGGTCTTTCATTTGGGCATCACGTCATCTACAAACAACTTATCTCGGAGCTTGAAAACACAGTAGGATGAACACTACACAGAATTTTAAGTATCTTGTTTTTAAAACTGAAGCAATTCCTTCCATAAACCTAGGTCTTAAAACAGTCCCATGTCCATTTGAGTTCACACACAAAAATACAGAAATAAAATGGTATAGTCTTTAGAAATGCCAGGTGTTTGGGTACTTGATACTATATCAGCTGAGACTAACTTTATTGTCTTTCAGATTTTCCGTGGTAAACACTTAGCTTCTACTTAACTACTTCCACTCAGAGCACAGCGTGAAATCTAAATCCATATCTTAGCAAAATTGGCACAGTAGATTGTTCTACCACGTAATAGGTTACTTGGGAACGTTCTACTTAAATCTGGAAAGTATGCACTGATAGAAGTAAGGTTGATTAGTTGAAATACTTCTTTGACTACCTGATATTGAACAATGTTTTTGGTTTCTCTTATTACTCTGAAGTAGAGCTTCAGTCATTTGTCACTGTAAACACTCGGCCTGATATTTTCCTTCAGGAATAAACTTTAATTTGCCTGGTTATTATAACTTACTGTATAATTATTTCCTGTCTTTGACAGCCGTTTAGCAATGGCTTAGTGACGGTGATGGTTCCCCAGTTACGTCGTGGTGAAAATAGTCTCCTTCTGTGGAATGTTTTAGACTTAAATGTCCCAGTTCATACCTTCGTTGGACATGATGACGTAGTGCTAGAATTTCATTGGCGAAAACAGAGGGAAGGTAAGATGCCCAAAATGGAAACAAGTGGGCAACAGTCTTAATCCTAAAGTGAGATCCAGTTAAATGTGTGACCTGTAAGATGCCTTTCAATTCTGAGAAGAAAGGGCTATGTGAATAACAGTCACAGTTGCTCCTGGTTTTTAACACCTGAGCAAGATTACCAAACCCATTGATTAACAGGATGAAAAGCGTTAAGAGGTACACTGGCCAGAAGTGAATAGTAAGATGTAAATCAAGCTGGACGGTAGAGAAGAAGTATTTGACGAGGATAGTGTGGCTGACCATAATCAAAGACTACAGAGAGGAGGGACTTCATCTAATAGTCACAGTCATAGTTGTTCATAATTTCACCTCTGACAGAAACCTGACAGAGTAATTCAAAGAGGTGTCTGCAGGAGGATAAGCATGAATCTGGGAGACAACATATTTGAGGGTCTGAGAGGAAAGTGCTGATAGCTTGCAAGAACAGAAATTAAATCTAATCTCAAAACCTATTGGATAAACTTTAATGGAGATTGTTCCGCTGCTACTGGGTTGTTCTTTGACAATGAATGGACACCAATCAGATAACTTGTTGGACTTAATTGCCTTTGGCCTCCACAGCTCAAAAAACCAATCAGCAACCTGTTGATGGTCAAATCTCACATTGTACTCAGGCTCCTAAAGTCAGCCAGTCTACAAACATTTTCACACACAGCTTGAACAAAGCACCAGGGTAAACACCACACAGAATGAATTTCAGTAACTTTTTTAAAGTGTAATCATTCCTTCCTTAGTCCTTTGCTGTAAACCAGTCCTTTCCCCAGTTCAGTCGCTAATCAAAATAAAATAAGTTAAAATGATAATGATCTTTATACTATCTGTGGTTTCTCCTGAAAGTTGATCTGCCCTTGAGGCATAATCTCATTTCTTGAAGTGAAATATAGTTCAAAGCTGTTATGGGTAGTCAAACCTAATTTATTTCTTATCAATCATTTGGTGATGTTCATATGAAATAGAGAAGTGTGCGAACCTCTTCTGCATGGCGGCTGAGTGGTTAGCACTGCTGCCTCACAGCCCAGGGACCTGGGTTTGATTCTACCCTGGGGCAACTGTCTGTGTGGAGTTTGCGCATTGTTCCCATGTCTGAGTGGGTTTCCTCTGGGTCCTCAGGTTTCTTCCCATGGTCCAAAGATGTGCAAGTTAGATGGATTGGCCAAGCTAAATTACCCATAGTGTCTATGGATGTGCAGGCCAGGTGGATTAGCCATGGGAAATGTGGGGCTACAGGGCTAGGGTGGGGAGGGCTGCTGTTCAGAAGGTCAGTGTGAACTGAATGGTCTGAATGCCCTTCTTTCACACTAGGAATTCTATGACTTCATTTAGTGGCTAGTGCTGAAGTTCTTCAGAATCTTAGAAATTGTGTTTTCCATATTTACCAATTTGCTGCTCTATCATCTGTGTACAAAAGCTTGAATTTCTTAGGTGGAAGTCTGGTACTGATGACTTTCATTGCATTGGCTGATAGTTTAAAGTTCATTTCTTGAATTAAATAATGATTGTTAGGATTTTGATCTTGTATACACCCTTCTTGTTGTGAAGTTGTTGTTTCAATGCCAAAACTGAAAGCTTTTGGAAATTTGTGCTGTTTTAAATGCCAAGTTTGGCTTTGCTTTACCAAAGGGGTGGCTTTAGCGATATGAAAGAAGATGTTCCTTTTCCAAGTTGGCTGAGTGATTTCCAAAAGATCTGTAGGTTCAAATGTTCTCAAAATGGTTTCAATCAATGATATTCATTTTTTTTTGTCAGTGTAAAAAGAGGCTGTTTTAAAAACAGAAATTGCTGGAAAAACTGAGCAGGTCTGGCTGCGTCTGTGGAGAGAAATTAGAGTTCATGTTTCAGGACTAGTGTTGTTGTTGCTTGTGCCAATATTTTCTGCGTCTGAGATATTTTCATACTAAATTTAACACCATGTGATCAGAGTCATGTCCTATTTCTTTGTCTCTAATACTGCAATTTAACAATTGAACTTGAAAAACTTCTTAATTACTGAAGAAAATTTGCATTTCTCACCCAAATTATTGACATAATAAATCAGTGTCATTAGGTTGATTGTGAGACACTGACTGAATTCATTGGTCTTTTCAGAATCCTTCGTCTATTGACATTGAATTTCCTGTGCAGTATTGTGTTGTTGCTGTTGCTTTTGAGCTAGGTTGGTGGAGGTAATCACATAGATAGGACAGGAGCTAATGACTGATACATCAGCCACTGTCATGATATGGGTGATGTAAATATTCCTGTTACTCCTTAACTGAGACAGTGACATAGATAGCAGTTGCAAATATCTGGAGTGTGTGTGTTGTCTTGTAATTGGAGTCTGGTAGCATTCTAAATCTGGCTTCTTTTTTTGCAGAATTGAAGGACTATCAGTTGGTTACCTGGTCACGTGACCAGACATTACGAATGTGGCGGATTGATATGCAACTACAGCGGGTAAGTGATTTTTGTTTGCTAAATGATTCATTAACTGGTATAAACTGTTCCAGTAATGACACCACCATTTGTGCATTATGTCATTACCTTGAACTTTATGGGAAGATATCAGCTGGCTGCTGTCTCAGTGTGGTAACCTGTACAAAAATAGTTTTTTGGAGAGCCAGGGTTATGCTAGGTTTTCATCAATGGTGACAAATTTTCTTCCTTCCTTATTCGTTTTGCTTCTTTCATGCATGACTGGGGGAGGAGAAAAACAAAAGGATAAATTCAGTTTTATGTTTAATTATTTGTATGCAACTTTAAGGTGAGATTGACATGTTTGTAGGTGAACATAACTTCGGCACATCCCTTCAACTAAACATCTGAAGCCTGGGACTGGAATTGACACTGGTTATAATGCTAAAGTAAATTCTTAATTAGAACCCTGTTCTCTGATGCGTTAGGCTACATTGCACGGAGCTATCTTCCCAATTGCCCAAATTTGAATGTATCGGTTTCAGTAAGAAATTTGGAAGACGATGTTGATACCAGTTTGAAGAGAGCCTGAGCAAATAGGAGGAAGTGAATACCAGTCAAAGATCCTTTCTTCCTTTGTGGAAAACGTGGATATTTATTGTCTGTTTGCTGATAAGCTGAGCAGAGATTGAACGTGTTGAGGGAAAGGTGTGGCTAAATTGTATTCCATTAGGGGAAGGTGGCATTGTGCAGGTAAGGCTGCTGTAGGTATCCCTTTATGGTCATTGCACTTTGAAGGATACATGTGTACTGTGGTGGAAATGGAGGAACAGAATGGTTTAGGAGGCAACAATAGTGCAGTACCTGTTACGTGGACATATGGTAATTTGGCTCTGGGAATGGTTAACTTTTCCATGCAACTTCAACACAAAGTTTTGATCAACTGTTTTGTTCCAGCTCTGTGCAAATGACATGCTGGATGGCGATGAGTTAACTGATGGTGTTTCCCTGCTCCCAGAGGCAGATAAAGCTCTTCATTCACAGGACACTGATCCTCCCCCAACACTAAGTCATGTAAACGAAGAGGATGAAGGTAAAATTGTTATGAAGCTCAAAATGGAATTCTTTGTAGTTTGACTGTGAACTACTGCTTAAAAGTTGCAAAGTGGAGACTGGAAGACTAAATGTTAGTTTTGAAGCTTGTTTAAGGATCTTTGAGTGTGTGACAGGTGGCTGAAGTAGCAGAATTTGGGGGCTCAAATCTCCCCATCCAATCTCAACTTCTCTAGAATTTGTTAATTTGCCAAAATTTTATTCCAATGTGTCCCGACACATCATGGTGTGGGAGTGATAATGCGTGGCATTGGGAGTTGGGAAGGATATTTGCCTTTCTCTACATAAATCTAACCTGTAAGCAACCATTGGCAATCTCAAGGTCTGTTTCTGCCAAGGAACTGGGGAGAATTAGGGCAGAAATGCCAACTGTCCTCTTGGTTAATACTTGATTCAAATAGTTTGTGTCTATTTTGTACGATGCACTTGTCTGCACAATCATACTGTGGTGTGAGCATTTCACCACATGGGTGCCCAGAGTTCTGGCTACGTACCACCATAGCAGCATTATTACAATTGGAAAAAATCACTTATCTTCACCCTCTACTTCAGTCATCATGAAGACTCGTGCAGTGATTATCTAATAGCACTGAGCACTGGAGCTGATTAGTTGCTTCTGGAAAGTTGAATTATAGTTAGACTGAGGGACTCTTTGGAATTTTACCTTATAACTGTGGAATTAAAATAGTGGGTGAAAACTATTTACCTCAGCACACGGAGTAATTTTGACATTGTCCTGGTTTAAAAGTGTTGATTCAGTGCATTTTGGCATTTTTTAAATAGTGAAAGATGAATTAAAACAGTACTTTGACAAATACTGTATCTGGTACAGGTAATGATAAACTGCAGTTTTTTTAAAATACTTTCTGTGCTTTGATCATAATTCCAAAGTAACATATTTCAACTGTGCAATTACTGTGAAAATATGTATATATTGGGTGATTGTTTTAGCTTACTGTAGTTGGGCTGTTAGTTCTAAGCTGAATAGTTCAGAATTGTCTACGATTTTGAGGAACTATTATGACCCATTTGTGATCTTGAGGTGGGGTGATTCCATATTGAGATCTAGATGCTGAATACTGATGTAAAGCATGCAGGCCATTCACGTAAAGGAATGCTTAAGTAGGTATTCTTCGTTGCTCAGACTAAACCCTGTTTTACTAAGCAATCTAAATATTGATTTGTCATACAGTCAATCCATCCTGCAATGTACTTGATGAAAGATATTTGTCTCCTATGCTTGTTGACAACCAGTCTTCTCCTTGATTTGCTCAGGTATATTTCCTTTGCATGGTAAGTGCAGTTACCCTCTGCATGTTCTTTTTCTTCCAGTATTAAGAGAGGATTTTCACAACCACGTCACAATCAGCTCCAAACCTGATTATCTCGGACTACCACAGACATTGCAACAAGAATTCTCGTTGGTTAATCTACAAATCCGCAATGTGATGGTTGATGAGGTTTGTGTGAATGCAGTGAATTATCATTGCAGTGGTTGGGCTCTTTTTGTTTTATCCATGCACGGAATGAGAGTGTCAGCAGCTAGGCCAGCATTTATTGCCCATCCCTAATTGCCCAGAGGGCAGTTAAGAGTCAACCACATTGCTCTGGGTTTGGAGTCACATGTAGGCCAGACCAGGTAAGAATGGCAGTTTCCTTCCCTAAGGAGCGTTAGTGAATTTGCTGCCTTCCTTTCCTTCTCTCCACCCTTGCCCATTCTGGAGCAATCTTTTTCTTGTCACCTAAGGTTCTAAGACATGATCATGAATTCAACTATCTGGAAGAGGCCATCAGTTACATTTGTTTCTTTTTCCTTCTGTTCTGGTAAACAGTATACATTAATGGTACCAAAGGAATAAACCTTTAATGAAAACAGTAGTTTGATAACTGTGGCTTTGAAGTCTTTTGCCCACAACAATACAACCTTGGCACACCATTTGCTGTTAAACCATATCCTACCATATGAGATGAAGTTACAGAAAAAGAAACTGGGGCCAGTTTGGTGGTTACAAAATAGAGGTTAGGTTTAGAAGATCAGATAATGGGAATGTCAGTCTGGATTTAGAGAGAGATTTTTCTTTCACAGGGCTCTGTTTCCTCCCCTTGATGTGCATTGCTTCACAGAGATTCCTAATTAGGGTGATCATTGTATTTTTGGCTAAACTTGACAGAAACAGTTTGCAATGAGAATTGATGCAACATAGCCTCAGTATACCTGCACTAAGGCTTATTTTAAGTTAATTTTTGACATTTTAAGAGTTGCAAAGAAATATAAAAGATATTTTAAATGCAAACCTGGCACAAGATGAGTTTCAGAGATAGGAGGAACTGCAGATGCTGGAGAATCTGAGATAACAAGGTGTAGAGCTGGATGAACACAGCACTGAAGAAGGGTCTAGGCCCGAAACGTCAGCCTTCCTGCTCCTCTGATGCTGCTTGGCCTGCTGTGTTCATCCAGCTCTACACCTTGTTATCACAAGATGAGTTTCATTTTTTACTGAGGGTAATGAAAATTCAATTCCCCAGAACATCTTCAGGATCATTGTGATTTTGATTATTGTTTCAACTGTATGACTGGTGCCAACAGTACTACATTCTGAATTGTATAGATGGATGCTGTAAATCGCAACTGCACAGTCTCGGTGCATTGTGGAAATCTCCGGGTGAAGATGGTTGTGATGTTTCCAGTACAGTATCCAAACAACGCTGCTCCCTCCTTCCAGTTCATTAACCCCACTACCATCAGCTCAAGCATGAGAACAAAACTTCTTAAGGTAAACTGACCATGTGTAAAAAAGAATTAATCATATGAGAACTGACTGCTGGATTCAGATAGAATCTTTGATTGTCGTGTTTTGTCATGATACTGAAAATGAAGTATTTTCTTCTGTATAGAAACTAAGAACAAGAGTAGGTCATTTGGCCCTTCAAGAAACTCCACATTTCAGTATGATTATGACTGACCCCCTATATCAGTGCTACATTCCCGCTTTCTCCCATAGCTCTTGACGTCTTTAAGATCTAAAATTTATCAACCTTCTTCTTGAATATATTGAGTGAAGAATTCAACAGGTTCACTACCTTTTGAATGAAGAATTTTTTTTCTCAGCACAATCCTAAATTGCCTACCCCACACCCTAAGACTGTAACCTCTGATTCTTGACTTCCCCACCTGGGAAAACACCTCCCTGCATCTAGTCTGTCCAACCTTGTTAGAATTCTTTGTTTCAGTCCAATTCTTCATACTTCTAAACTTTAGTGCTTGCAGGACCAGTCAAATTAGTCTCTCCTCATAGGACAGTCCAGGCATGCCCATGATGCCAGAACAAAATACTGTCAGCCTAGTGAACTTTGTTGCACTCCTTGAATGGCAAATATATCATTCTTTGCTAGGGAGGCCAGAACTGCATGCAGTGCATTAGGTGTGGTTTCACTAAGGCTCTGTATAACTGCAGTAAGACATCTCCACATCTGAATTCAAATTCCTCTTGTAATAAAGGCCAGTATACCGTTTACCTTGTTTATGGTTTAAGTGAAATGTTATATTGTAGTTCCACCTGCTGGATCAGATGAATAGACAAGAGCATGAGTTCTCCTGGTGACCAAGCCAACAAACCTTCCTCAGCCACTAATATGAGACAGATCAGTCAAATTTTTATCTATGCTTTAAGTAGGATCATGTGCACAAAATAGTAACTGTTTGCAGAGCAGTCATTGTACTTGAAAGTAATTCATCAGTGAAATGCTTTGTGATGTTTCTAGACAGATGGTAAGGTGTCATGTACAGTTGTTTGATTTTTTTTTGAGTGCGTGCCTAGTTTGAATTTTGATGATTGGTTATGATAGTATTTATCTATTTATGTGTCATATGTTTGAGTAATTTGTGTGTTCTGTATCACGTATATTGTGTTTACCTCTTTGGTTGGGTTTGTTTGTACATTTATTTTTAACCTATTTTTGCCTGTAATCTGTATGATGTGTTCATTGTGTGTGCTTGTGAATCTGCTTAATGGATTGAATTTTGCAGATTTGTTGCATATGATGTTTTTAGTGTGGTAGGACTTTTATTAAACCCTTTCACATTTGCTTCAGATTCTGAAGGACACATCCCTCCAGAAAGTGAAACGAAACCAGAGTTGCTTGGAACCTTGTTTGCGCCAGTTAGTGTCCAGCCTGGAGGCTATTGTGGTAAGAGAGCATTAACCCTTACTACTAGGCTGATACAGTCCCAAGATGCTGTCATATTTAAAGGGAGCCATATGTGTGCGTTGAATAGCCATGTGATTGAGAAAACCTGCAGTCACATTCGATGTGTAAATAACTTTCAAAATGATGCTATAATCTGTTTATACAATCTAGAGTGAATTTTGTTTTGAATTGACAATTAGAATCATAGAATTGTTAAAACATGGAAGGCAGCTATTTGGCTCTTGTGTTCATGCTGACCCTCCTAAGGAACAGTTCACGTACCTGCCTTTAACCCATCCTTTTCCCATGTTGCTGCACATTCCACCTCATCAGACATTTGGAATAGAAGTTAGAAGGATTGCAATTGAAAGTCCTGTCTTACAACTTATCATACAGCATTGTCGTACAAAATTCTGAAGACTTTTGAAATAAAATCAGGAAATGCACAGAGGATCAAGTATATCAGGAGAGAGAGAAATGGGTGAACTTTTCATGTCAATTGCCGTTCATCAGAACATTGTGTAATAGTTAGCCTTGTAATAGGTTTTCAGCAAGTTCGAAGCAGAGATAGTGTGGGCATTGGGGTACAAAGAGAGTATGGGGTGAAAGATTACAGAGATTCATTGACAGAAAGGATGGTAATGAAAGAAGGTGGAATTGGGACTGGAAACAAAAGAATAGTAGAATCATCAATAGATGAATGATGCTATTTTGCTTATGAACTATGATCAGTGCTACTCTGTGCAATGTCTTTGGAGATTCATTCTCTGGAATTGTATGTAATTACAACTTGTCATTTTAATTTGCAGGTTGGTTAGGAGAGTTTCTGTTTCTCTTTAGAGTATTGTCTGTTTACTCAAAGGAACCAAAAGTTAAATCCTCACCTAAATGGTGAGTCTCTTTTGTGGTTGAGTGTTGTCAGAGGGGAAAGTAACTTGATGATACTCAGCTGAATTTAAACACTTGTCTTTGGAGCCTTGGGAACCCCAAATCAGACCAAATATTAAAAATTGATCCCTTTTGTGGGATTTCCTGTATCTAAACCATTGTATGCTTGCATTGTTCTAAACTCAATGGTTCAACCCTGTAAATGAAAATCATTTAGTAAGAGTAATCAAGTACCTTTTCAAATTTGAACATGATGGGACACTGCCTGTTAGTGAACCTGCTTGCAGTTGTTTTCTGTTTGACATTTATAATGTATATATATTTAGATCAGTTTATGCTTCACATCGTCAAAAAAAGAGATCTGCTTGGAGCAGACATTTCATTTTGGTAAGATGATATTCTGCTGCCATTCTTAATATTTTCCTATTTGTTTAGTTAGTGGAGAGATGGAAAACAAATTCGAAAATAATCAAACTCACTTAATTGCTGCCATAGTCTCAACCCACCTCCTTACATCACCTGCACAGCAAACTGAACCAAGGACACATTAGGGCATTCACGTTAATAAAAATACTTGCTTGGTAAAATACGTGTATTTAGTATTCTTGTACGGAAGGTACTGCTTCTTTACAGATCTTAGTGGTATTTGATGGGTTAAGTTCTATTGATTAATATAATGGTTGACATGGAATTTGGTTATTACTTGAAAATAACTTGTTATGTGTTGGACTTGGAGCATTACTCAAAATGAAACTGTGTTCTTGTCTCACCTGTGGCTCAGTAGTAGTGCACTTCTGAAACAGGACCCACTCCAAAGATGACACAATATGATCGAGATTGTCTCCTGCAGTACTTGGAAATTGTTGCACGCTTGAAGATGCTGTTTGGATGAGACTTTCAATCTTCATGCCCTTTTAACATTCTCCTCTCAAATCAATCACATCAATATTAATATTTATGGAACCTTACAGATTAATTGCCATTTAGTTAGTGATTATAGTAACAATTCTGAGAAACTTGGTAAGATGTGTGTAATTACAAGTTGTTTTCTTATTTTCAAATTGGGTCTTTGTATAATTCAAATCTTCATTGACATCTGGTAAAAATAAACTCATGCAGGTGGGTGTAATTCCATGTCAGACATCTGGGATACTTACCTGTTAAAATGAAAGCTGCCACTTGTTATAGTTCATAACTTTTCATTTGAGTTTGTTTGATTTTCCAGAATCAGGATAACAGTGGCTCTGCTAACTCCCAGAATCCATTTGTCCTTGGAAATTCTGTCACGCCTCCACTACCGACTTTTCCACGAGTCACTAACACCTATGGTTCCTACCAGGATGCCAACATTCCCTTTCCTCGAACCTCTGGGGCACGTTTCTGTGGAGCTGGTTAGTAAAACTTTAAGGAAAACCATTATTCAGAAGTCACTGCCAGTTCTGATAGTATTTCGGCATTGGGTTAATTTTGTCCTATCTGGTATTGATTGCCCGGACTTGTGAAGAATAGCTCCTAACTGTCACGTAAGCAACACCTCGAGTTGGGCAGGTAACTGCAAGAAAAGAATTCTCCTTGTAAGATATAGGGTATAGATACAGTGACCTGTGGTGCATTTACACTGAATGTAGTCAGTATGCATCTATAAATAACTCTACAGTTATGCATGAATTTTGTTTAACTTGAAATCTAATTTGTGATGATCTGACACAATGAACTTACCAAGGTATTGATAGCCAATTTAGTTCATAGGTACTGTAGATACAACATTTGCTTTTTTATTTTTCCTTGGCGAAATGGACAGTTTCACATTTCCCACATCATAGTCCATTTGGCCACATCTTTGTCCACTTATATAACTGCTCTGTATCCCTTTGTATCCCTTTGTAACCACTTTGAATCCTATTCACAACTTAATTTCCCACTTATCTTTGAGTCATCAGCAAATTTGGCAACCATGATATGTAACCATGCTCTGTTATGTAAGTCATTTAAATCTAGCACTGATCCCTGTGGCAAACCACTTGATACATCTTGCCAACCTGAAAATGACTCATTTATGCCTGTTAACCAGTCAATCTTCTGTCCAAGCTATTGTGCTATCTGTTACACCATGAGTTTTTATTTTCTACAATAACCGTTTGATGTGGCTCTTTATCAAATGCCTTCTGGAAATCAAATTTGAGTGCGTGTACTTCTGGCTCCCCTTTGTCCACAGCCCACGTTACTTCCTCAAAGTACACCAAGCATTTTACTTTCACAAAACCATGTTGACTTTATCTTTTCCTGCCTTGAACTTGTCTAAGTTGCCTTCTAGAATTTCCTTAACAATAGTTTCTAATTATAATAACGTTTTCCTGTGACGAAATGTCAAGTGCAGTAGCAGGTTTTGGACGAGAAACAGGTTCAGCTTAGCCTCAGGTCTGGTTTTCTGTGGAGAGAATCTTGCAGGCAGTGATGTTAACAGTACACTAGCTCTTCCCAGACCACACCTTCCCTCAACCTTTTCTCAGGGCCAAGGGTTTTGGCCATTTCATGGGGTCCCTGGTTAAGCCACTTTATCAAGGAATTTTTTATGTTTCTGACACTAACCATTGTGTATTGCTTTGAGATAAATGATGCCAATAGTACCAATTTAGGCATAATCAGTTTCAACAGTGCCCCTTTGTTCAGAACTAACTGGGGAGCCATTTTATCTGCTGGTCTTCATGTTTCTGGACTGCAATGGTTTATACGATGAAGGGCTATAGTAATCTAGGAGAATAATATAAACTCTGACCTGGTTACTGCTGCTCAGAACTTCCCAGAATTTGTCAGTTGGTATCATGTAATCAGCTGTAGCCATGTTTTTGTCCAGCAATGTTCATTTTACAATTTGAACAAATTAATATAGCTTGTAAAAACAATTTATGCCCTGTGACTGTGACACCGGTGTCCACATTTGAATTGAACTTGTGTAGTGTGCTTTGATATCAAGCGATGACTAATTTGTGTTTATGTTGCCTAGGTTACCTTGTATATTTCATGAGACCAATGACTCTTCACAGGACAGTGTCTCCAACAGAGCCCACACCCAGGTAAAGAAAGCCACAGGCACCATGATGTTTACACTGGGAATTTTTTTTTTCCTCTCAGGCACTTCGCAATTTGCATGTCCTTGTCAGTTTTATGTGGAACTGGAATTTGGAATTTGACTGCCTGGATTGAGGTGGAGGCAGGATTGATCAAGGCATTTAAAACAGATTTGAAATGTTACTAGGAAGAATGTGGAGCAATATGGAACCTGGAGAGTGGCACTCAATCAATTGCTCCTTTTGGAGAGCCACACAGACATGATTGGCCACATGGATCCCTTCTATACTCTCACCATTGTGTGATTTGTGAGATGAGAATTGCACAGTATTTCAAGATTTCAAGAGCGGTTCTCGCTATAGTCAGCTAACACTGCTGCTTAATTTTCTGCCCCTGCCAACAATGATTGTTTTATCAATTGTATTGCTTCTTCTGACTATGAAGGGTAGTGAGTTGCATACTTTATTCATTTTGAAGCCGTCTATGACTGATCACAATCTTGTACTGTCTGTTTAGATCATTGTCGGCTCTCTCTGCCTATCACAGTGGAGGAATCACCCCGATGAAGATCCGTACGGAATCACAGAGTAATTTGAGGCTGTACAGTGGGAGCCCAACTCGCAGTGAAAAGGAGCCAGTCTCCATTAGCTCCTTCTATTACAAGGAGCGAGTGAGTATGGTGCACTGGACTTGTGACCAGCCACACAATCCATTGCCTCCAGCCCTTTTTGTTTTATTCGCTCTTGGGATGTGGACGTCACTGGCTAGGCTGGCGTTTATCACCCATCCCTAATTGTCCAGAGGGCAGTTAAGAGTCAACCACATTGTCCTGGGTCTGGAGTCACATCTACATTACCAGACCAGATAAGGATGTCCGATTTCCTTCCCTAAAGGACCTCGATGAGATTTTACAACGATCATCAGTGATTTATGTGGTCGATGTTTGTTTGGTTTGCTTTTATTCCAGCTTTTTGTTGAATTGAAACTTCACCATCTGTGATGGTGGAATTTGAACCCATGTTCCCACAATAAATAATAGCCTGGAGCTCTGGCATACCAGTCTTAATGACATTACCACAATGCCACTGCATCCCCTTATCTCAAACATCAGATTTCCACTTATGCAACAAATGGTTAATTACATTTTCACCACAATTTTACACAATTTTCCCAGAAGTGGAACTTACCAGGCCAGTATGATGGGCCTTTCAATGCCATATAGCTGAATTCTTTGTAGTAGTGCTTTGTTAACTTAGTGAGGGATTTTGTTTTGGTTTCCAGAGAATTGATGCACCAGTTGTCTGTTGTCTATTTCTAAAGTGACAGATAGACATACAGGTACATGTTTGTGGTTGATGAACCAGACTGGAAAATAAAAGGAAAATGTGATGGGATTTGCAAAAGTGCAAACAATTGATTTTTAAAAACATATGTCATGGAGAGAATTACTTTAAAAATTCTGATCTTATTTGATGGTGAAGCATTGATCAGTTGCCTGTATGCATGAGTTTTGTTTCTTTTTAGCTGGTTAACTGATGAACAGCTACTTCAGCCAGGGAGACATCAGCTGAAACCAGCAAGCATGCTCTTGCATATGGGAGCTCTTTTACTTACGTGGCTTGTTGTTTTTAGACTTGAGTCTGAGGTACACCTGGCAACACTTTTCCTGTAAACTAAACTCTTTTACATATCTTGTCTGTTAAAATTTCAGTGGGATCAACTTTAGATCCCTTCACCTGTCCTGCAGAATTTTAAGTGTTTTTTTTCGCTTGTCTCTTGTCATTAATGCTTGCATTCGCTTAGCTGATGTGTATGAGAGATCCTGACCCAATACTGTAACTTTGCTGTGACAATAGATTAAAAAGCTATTTGGGTGGATGGATGCTGGTCATTATCGTTGCTATCTTATTTCCCCTTACAGAGTGTCATCATTGCAACCTGTAGTCTTGCTATGATAGTCTTGTGCTTTTCTCTTTGGTTGCTCATGGGAACTCTATATTTTCAATTTCAGTCAGCAGTTACTCCAAAGGAAACATAAGTCTGCTTGAAGAATCCTCTACCATTGTCCCTCAAGGTTTTAAATGTTCTGCTATCACCAAAACTTGACTGATTTTTGCCATTGCCCTTGGCTGAAACCCTGAGAGTGGGATTCCACATGCAAGTTGTTTTCAGAGTAATTGTTTGGATTCTGGTGAGCTGCAAATTTACAAATCTGACTTTGCTGCACTGGAGTTGTCTGCCGAACAGATTGAGCAATTACAGAATACTGATACTTTCCATGACTGAGGAAGTGCTGAGTTTAAAATAAATGAAGTTTTAAATTAGTTAGTTTTCTCACTGAGTTGTGAGCTGCTCTCTTTTGTCTTGTTTTTTAAACCAGATTTAGAAATGTGATGATGATCACTCAAGTTTTAATTGTCCAAAAATGCTGTGATTCTTTAAGATGTTGCAATAAGGTTAAAAAATAATTGGAGAGATAATCAGGAAGTGGCTGTGTCTTAGAGGGTTTGTAAAGAGCTTTCATGTGGTATGAGACAGCAGTCATTAAAGCCTGAGGCCCATTAATGTGAAAGCATTGGGTGAAAAGTGAGTAGGTCAGGTGCAGTATCTGGGGGGTCACTGATGGAGTGCAGTGTGTGGGGCTCACACAAGAATAGGCCCTTTGATCCTGCCCTGCCAGTCAACAAAAGTCATAGCTGCTCTGATTACAGATCCATGTTACAATTTATTGCCATGGAAATTGAATGCAAAAGAAGGGAAGTTATGCTTAATTTAAATAGGGCATTCGTAAGACTGCGTATGGAGTATTTGTACTGGTCATGTATTTACAGGAGGGTTTTGATGTATTGGAAGTATTTAAGAGAAGGTTTACTAGACTAATGAGTGGGTTGCCTTATGAAGGAAAGGGAGACAGGCTACGTCTGCATTCTGTGGAGTTTAGAAGAGTTAGGGGTGACTTGATTGAAAAGTATAAATCCTGATGGGACTTGGCTGAGTGGATGTTGAAAGGATGATTTGATTGCTTTTGTGGAAGGATCTATAATTAGGGATCATGATTTAAAATAAGGGAGCTTCCATTTGAAACAGATGAGGAAACTTTTTTTCTCTGCAGGTTGTGAATCTTTCCAATTTCCCACCTCCAGTGGGGGTACAGAACCCTTAAATATTTTTAAGGCAGAGTTAGATAGATTATTGATTACCAAGGAAATATGCAGGAATGTCAAGTTGCAGCTAAAATCAGATTAGCCACAAACTTACTGAATGGTGGAGCAGGTTCAAATGGTGGAGCAGGTTCAAATGGTGGAGTGACTATCTTGTTCCTTGTTCATACATACATCACGTTCTTGCCTACCCTCAATAACCAATCACTCCCTTACTTTAGCAAGAATCTGTCCACCTCTGTGTTTAAAGAAAAAAATTTGAAAATTTTACTTTTACGTCCTTTTGAGCTGGAAAGTTTTAAAGACTCATGTCCCTCTGTGGGGGGAGAAAAAAATTCCCTTTTTTCTCTCTCTTAAATGGGTAATCCTTTATTTTTAAACACTGACCCCTCTATTGTTGCTACTTTGTACATTTTGCACAACATTGCAGAAATCTCTTCTTTACTATATTTAGGTGTCACTTGAAATATTATCATGATCATTACAACTGCGTGTGATAGGAGAGGGACTTCAAATTAAAATTAATAATTCACTGACAAACATGTCTCTTTGTTTGTCTCAGATTTTTGTCTGTAGTCACATATAACTTGGGTCTCGAGTTTGTACATTGAGTAAATGCTTAAACATAGAGCCTTTTTCAGCTAGCTCCTCACTGTTTTTCTATGAATTAAGTTTATCTTTTCTGTGCATGCTGTTTTATTTTGAATCTATCTTTCCGTGTGCTTTTTCTTTTTCTGTTGTGATTTGATTTATTTTTTGTATTCTTGGTGTTTCTTTTTTTTTGGTGGTGTTCATTCTTGCAGATGTCTCCTCTCTCCGCCTGGCGACGCTGGTCCATTCAAGCAGTTAATGAGTTCCCGGTACTGTGCACATTACAATCCTGCATTGGTGCCCTTGTGTTTCTGGGATGGCCAGGTGCCCTGTATCCGGGACAAAAGCTTCACGTGTCAGCTCCATTAACAAATGATGGATGTTCATTGACTTTCTTTTCCAATTTTCTAAAGTCACCGACCCATGCTGGATGTGCAAGTTTTATGAGTGTGAACTCTTTAGGAACTGTTAGTGATCCCTGTACTATGAACCCAAACAGTGATTGTCAGTAGAGGCCTTTCATTGATGGAATACTCATAATGTGACATCCACACTTGTCAATCACTTGCCATTGGAATTACTCACAGTACTTGGGCAAGAAGCCTGGCTGAGATTTTATTTCTTGTTCCCTAGCCCAAGAGGACAGTTGTAATGGTTCAACTTCTACCCAAGTTAGGAACACTTGGTTCAGTACAGCAGTAATTCCTGGTTTACGTAAATCACTATTTGATTTCCTGATCAGTCTAAGATATGGTGCAGCTGGCCAACTCAAACTTCTTGGGCAGTTCAAAGCAGTCCCTGC